TATGCTGACTCTGTAAACCGCTTAGAGAGGGCTGAAAGCCCTATGAAGCAGTATATAAGTCGAACTGCTAAACTCTGCAAATAAATAAAGACATAAATAATAGAGCACCATCCTCTGAAACTCTTGTTCTTAAACATTTAGGTATGTTTTCTATCGTGTAGTCAGCATGTTTATGGTATGTTCTAAAAATGTGAAAAGATGTTCACCCGATTTTTCTTTTATTACAGAATCATTTGTTGTACATTGAAAAGAAAACACGTTAGGGAAAGAAGAATAGAATGGAAATGGAAGGATTCCCTCCACCACCACCCCCTGAAGGTAATACAAATATAAAAAAGTAGGGGCTGTTCATGCTAAATTTTAAAATGCCTGCATTTTAAAATATTTGAATTAATTTATTTTGTGCCTTTAAGACATTGTTGACACCTGGATGCTGTTTGTCCTATTTCCTGCAATTTCTTTAGCAAGATTTGTGGGAGTGGCTTGCCTCTGCCTTCTTCCTGGAGCTCAGCGAGAGGGACCGCCCCACTCAGTTGGCTTCATGCCTCAGGTGGGATTGGAATTCAGAGCCTCCTAGGTTTTAGCCTGGCGCCTTAACCGCTCCATCAGGATGGCGGTTTTTAAAATAATTCCTTAAATGTTGTTTTGCTATTCTGAATTATATCGTCTTTGTTGTTGTTGTTTTACTGCGTTCTTTGTTTTCCTAAACCGATAGGGAGAAGATTCTGTGTCTAGCATGTGATTTGGATTTCCTTAAGATTCCATTGAATGACTTCATTAGTTGGCACTGGTTATTAAAGATGAGAAGTTGCTTCTAGTAATTTTTTCCCCCCATTTGTTACGGTATCCATTATCTCCTATCTGGAACTGGATCTCTGTCATTGTGGGATGTAATAGGCTGGTTATGCTAATGCAAAGTTGTTTACAATGCAGTTTTTATTTAGGGTGGCTAAGTCAATATATGTGATGGGATAGAGCCAGTGAAAACATATGTGGATGCATAATTTTCTGTAAAATGTTGAGTAAGCATAGTTTGCAAACTCTTTTCTGCCTTAGCAACATCTGTTTGTGTTCTGGCTGGGGTTCTAACAGATTCTTCATGGAATCACTGGGTGAAGCCATCCATTTGCTGCGTTTTGTGTGTGTGTTAGGAATTATCAATAGCCCCCTGAAAGAGAAAGACATTTTGTACAAGTTCATCTGGTGTGCTTGTTATACCCCTTTCTTGTACTAGGAGGCCCTTCAGGATCAAGGAGGTCAATTACCCCTTGGACTCTCACAATTGGATTACTGTAATGCCTTCTGCATGGGGCTGCCCTTGATTGCCCAGTAGTTGTACCAGGTATAGAGTGCGGTCGTGCAGGCGGTGATGGTTGCGTCACGGTATGCGTCCCCACTGCTTCAAAATTTGCAATGTTATCAGCTGGCTTCTGGGTGCAATTCGGTATTCTGGTTATTAACTACCATTTAAAGCCCTTCATGGCATCAGCCTGCCTACTTGAGGAGCCTCTCCTCTCCATATCTTTCTACCAGTCCAAGGAGGGCTGATCAAGTGGACACATTCTGAATCTCATTTTGATGGCGGACCCTGTCCTCTGCAGTATTATGCTAATTATAAATCCCCCAGAGTTATGGAGGAGTTGGGCAGTCTCCCCTCTCTCTCTCTCTCTCTCTCTCTCTCTGTCGGTCTCTGTCTGTCTCTCTGTCTCTCTTTTCCTGTGTCTCTCTGTCTCTGTCTGTCTGTCTGTCTGTCTCTGTCTCTGTCTGTCTCTCTCTGTCTCTGTCTCTCTGTCTCTCTCTCTCTCTGTGTCTGTCTCTCTTTCCCTGTCTCTCTCTGTCTCTCTCTGTCTATCTCTCTCTGTTTCTCTCTCTCTGTCTTTCTCTCTCTCTGTCTCTCTCTCTCTCTGTGTCTGTCTCTCTTTCCCTGTCTCTCTCTGTCTCTCTCTGTCTATCTCTCTCTGTTTCTCTCTCTCTGTCTTTCTCTCTCTCTGTCTCTCTCTCTCTCTGTCTCTCTGTCTGTCTCTCTTTGTCTCTGTCTCTCTGTCTGTCTCTCGCTCTGCCTCTCTGTCTCTGTCTCTCTCTGTCTGTCTCTCTTTGTCTCTGTCTCTCTGTCTTTCTCTCTCTCTGCCTCTCTGTCTCTGTCTCTCTGTCTCTCTCTGTCTGTCTCTCTTTGTCTCTGTCTCTCTGTCTTTCTCTCTGTGTCTCTGTCTCTGTCCCTCCCTCCCT